GCAGTACGCGTGTGGGTTCGTTACAAATGGGAGACCTCAACTCATCACCAGGCTAGGTTCACTCCATCCCAGCCCGTCCTCCAAACAAAGATGCAAAAGTGATTCCATGCACCCACCAAACCCCCTGTTTATGAATGAAAAGCGGTTTACACACGACTCACAACTGCTGACGTTCGAACATATCCGGAACAAGTGCTTCACTGACGAATTTTGTTCGAATCACAACGCTATAAATGCTTCACCCACGTACTACAAATACAAATAATCGCCAACAGAACCTAAACACCTAACCTAACCTAATCTATGCCTATATATACACAATATGCCAATATATTATAATATTAATTTATATTTGAGAAAATTCCCGTTTTGAGTGAACAGCATGTAAAAATTTATGAATGCGTCTGTGGAGTTGACCGCTGTATGTAATGGACTTGAGTCGAGGACGGGTTGATATGCCGACTCCAAAGAAACGTTCATCAGTTTTAACTTGCAGTTCATTCAAAATAGGAATTTTCACGAATATAAACTAATATTATTATATATTAATATACTGTACATATTTAGGTCCGGTTCAGGATTTAGATTTTTTGACAATTATTTATATTTGTAGCACAGCATTTACGGACTTGTGATTCGAACACAAGTCGTCAGCGAAACACCGTTTGATAAATTTTCAAACGTCATCAGTTCTGATTCGTGTTAAAGTATATTTCACTCATAAATAGGCAGCCCGTCCTCATAAAAAAGGACAAAGTCCATTTCATGCCTCCGCCAAACCCCCCTTTATAAATGAAAAACGGTTTACATACGACTCGCAAATGATGACGTTGGAACACTTCGCGAACTGTGCTTCACTGGCGGGCTTTGTTCGAACCACATCGCTGTAAATGCTTCATCCACGTACTACAAATACATATATTCGAAAAAAGAACCTAAACACCTAACCTAACCCAACCATTGCCTAAATATGTATAATCTATGTTTGACCAGACCACACACTAGAAGGTGAAGGGACGACGACGTTTCGGTCCATCCTGGACCATTCTCAAGTCGACAAGTCACAATCGACTTGAGAATGGTCCAGGACGAACCGAAACGTCGTCGTCCCTTCACCTTCTAGTGTGTGGTCTGGTCAAAATACTTCAGCCGCGTTATTGTGACTCATCGCCTGCACATGCATAATCATCTATATAAATAAAAATGTAAATGTTCGTTTGTGCATAACCGCTAATCTCCGAAAGTTCTCCACCGATTGCTTTGAAATTTTCACACAACGTTCCATTCGCATCCGGCCAGGTTTTTATATACTCACTATATAGATGTCACGTCTGTGACGGTAAATAGAAAATATTTTTTCTGAGAACTGTTTTTCATGTGTTTTTCAAGTGAAGGAAATCTTCGAAACCTCTTTACCGATTGCTTTGAAATTTTGACACAACGTTGCATTCGAATAGGCGCATCTTTTTATATGCTTACTATATAGATGCCACCCATGTGACAGGTAAAAACAGCGCCATCTGTTGCACATAATGGCAGCATGCGCGCTATACTAAATATGTCACGAATTCCATTTCAGTGTTTTCGATTGCATTGATAAGTTTTATTTTCATAGATTTCGATTCATTTTATTTTTTTATTGAATTATTTTGTGACATTGTGTTGGAATTGAGCTGTGTTGTTTACCATACCGTTCATTTCGTAGGTATAAATATAGATGCCACACCTGTGACAGGTAAAACTATACTTTTCTTGAAAAACAGCGCCATCTGCTGCATGTAGGAGCAACACACATGCTATACTAACTATGTTACAATTCAACCCGTTCTCGCACTTGCTTCTAGTCAATATTGGCTTATTTAATAAGTGCATATGTGACATACTAATTGATTGTAAATATTTTAGTTTACCTTGAAAAGCTTCATAGAAAACATCGACCTCACCTAACCTTCTTAGTATGTTAAGATAAGCATCTTATTGCTTCTTACTTACAATTATTACTTAACCTATTAACGGTATAGGTTAAGTAATAATTGTAATTATTACTTATACCTTATACTTATCAACGGTATAGGTTAAGTAATATTTGAAATTAAGAAGCAATAAGATGCTTATCTTAACATACTAAGAAGGTTAGGTGAGGTCGATGTTTTCTAAGAAGCTTTTCAAGGTAAACTAAAATATTCACAATCATTTAATATGTCACATATGCACTTATTAAATAAGCCAATATTGACAGTAAGCAAGTGCGAGAACGAGTTGTACAATTCCATTTCAATGTTTCTGATTGATAAATTGAATTTTCATATATTTCGATTTATTTTCATTTTGATTTGATTATTTTTTGTGAATTGCATTGGAATTGAGCTGTGTTGTTTACCATGCCATTCATTTCGTGAGTATAGTTTATTTTTTTATTTTTGTCATATTTTCATTTATTTTTTTAACTGTTTTTCTTATATTTCAGTGATGGGAACATCAGATCACTTGATGTTCCCAATTTTCTGATGGGAACATCAGACCATTTGGGAAGGCATTGGACGAGGGAGTGGGGAATGGTGGGGAGGACGAGGGGACAAGGGAGTTTGGATGGTGGGGACGAGGGGATGGGGGAATGGAGAATGGTGGGGAGGACAAAGGAACAGGGTAGTGGGGCATGGTGGGAAGGAAGAGGGGATGGTGGAGTGGGGAATGGTGGGGAGGACGAGGGGACGGGTAAGGGGGTAATGGTGGGGAGGACTGGGGGACAGGGAAGGTTGTTGTGGCTCAGCAGCACACACGCGTTGCTGAGCCACAGCAACGCGTGGCCGGGTACTGCTAATATGCTAATAAATAACAATATTAATTTATTTGAATAAATTCAAATTTTGAAGGAACAACGTGTTAAAATTTATGAATGCCTCTTTGTCGTCGACCGCTGAATGGAATGGACGTGGTCTGAGGACGGATGGATATAAGGGAAATTGGCATTGGCATGGAATGAACATTTGACCTTTGTTGATAAGGACTGGGTGCATTGTTGATAAGGACGGGCTGAATTGTTGATAAGGACGGGCTGCATTGTTGATAAGGACGGGATGCATAGTTGATAAAGATGGGATGCATTGTAAGAAGAGTAATATCGAACACTGGACATATCCCGTCCTCGACTCAAATTCATTCCATCCAGCGGTCGACCCCACTGACGCATTCATAATTTTTTACATGCTGTTCATTCAAAACTGGAATTTTCTCATATATAAATTAATATTTTTTTTAAGTTAAATTTTTTAAAATTAATATTATAATAATATATTAACATATTGTGCATATATAGGCATAGGTTAGGTTAGGTTAGGTTAGGTTAGGTGTTTAGGTTCTGTTGGCGATTATTTATATTTGTAGTACGTGGGTGAAGCATTTACAGCGTTGTGGCTTGAACACAACCCGTCCTTGACTCAAGTCCATTACATCCAGCGGTCGACCCCACAGACGCATTCATAAATTTTAATATGTTGTTCATTCAAAACGGGAATTTTCTCAAGTATAAAATAATATTATAATATATTAGCATATTGTGCATATATAGGCATAGGTTAGGTTAGGTTAGGTGTTTAGGTTCTGTTGGCGATTATTTGTATTTGTAGTACGTGGGTGAAGCATTTATAGCGTTGTGATTCGAACAAAATTCGTCAGTGAAGCACTTGTTCCGGATATGTTCAAACGTCAGCAGTTGTGAGTCGTGTGTAAACCGTTTTCAATTCATAAACAATGGGTTTGGCGGGTGCATGGAATCACTTTTGGGTCTTTGTTTGGAAGACGGGCTGGGAAGTGAGTTAGTCCTTTCCTGAGAAGGTCTAGAGCAATCAGTATGTTATTGTCAGCCCGTCTTCCAGACAAAGACCCAAAAGTGATTCCATGCACCCGCCAAACCCCCTGTTTATGAATGAAAAATGGTTCGCACACGACTCACAACTTATTTCGTTCGAACACTTCCGGAATAAGTGATTCACTGACGAATTTTGTTCGAACCACAACGCTATAAATGCTTCATACACGTACTACAAATACAAATAATCGCCAACAGAACCTAAACACCTAACCTAACCTATCTTATGCCTATATATGCACAATATGCTAATATATTATAATATTAATTAATACTTGAGAAATTCCCGTTTTGAATGAACAGAATATTATAAATTTATGAATGCGTCTGTAGGGTCGACCGCTGGATGTAATGGACTTGAGTCGAGGACGGGTTGGGTGAGGGCGTACAACCCGTCGCATACAAAGGCCCAAGCTCGTTAATCCAGCCGCCAATTCCGCCTTTTTATGTGTGTGATGTGTGTGTGTGTGTTTGTATGGGGGCCTAATAGTCGATGTAAGAAACTCCGACGACGGCTGGCAGTGCAGAGGCCAGTTGGTGACCGCTGCCGGTGGTGGCGCCGAGGTGATCGCCCGCCTCCACAACGAAGGAGCACCATGACTAATGTAGCGGTGTTTATCTTAGTATTATCACGTGTTGTTCCTCGCCCTCTTCAGCGTCACCGTCATTAATCATCTCATAATAAACCAACAGCGTGTAATCACTGTCACAATCATCGGCTGTATTACAAATATTTGCAAGGATGAGTTTTGTCGAATATTTGCCCAAAAATTGTAAGATGTATGAAAGTGTTTTATCTCTTCTTACCTTTCTTCTCTTCCCTATTACACTAATTCCTAATGTCACTATTTCTCTCTCCAATTCTTTCTCCATTTCTCTTTTTCTATCTCTGTTTCTCTTTATATCTCTATCTCTATTTCTTGCCTTGAATTGTCTTCATTAAAACTCTCTTTAGTTGCCATTCTTGAATTTTCCCTTTCTTTTTCGACGGCCCTCTCTCACTCTTCCTCAACGGCCTTCCCCTCAGTCACCCTCCACCATTCTCCCTCAACGGCCCTCACCCTCACCCCTCCCTCACTCTCCCTCACCCTGCAAGCCGCCAACACTCACCCGTATCTTCCTTCTTCCCCAGGACCCGCCACCACCGCCCTTCGGGTCGTCGCCGCAGCCGCAGTCGCCGCCGCTCTCGCAAGTTCCCGAGCACCTGTTGATGGCCGTCAACAGTATCACCAGCGCCGCCTCCGGCCTCGCCAACACCGCCACCATCGCCAGCATCGCCAGCACCGCCACCTCCGCCAGCCCCCCCACCGTCACCACCATTAACGGCGGGGGAAGCCACGGAGGGGGCGGGGGAAGCCACGGGGACACCTCAACTCCCCCAGCACACACCCCTACTAACTGCGGAGCGCAGCAGCAACAACAGCAACAACAACAACAACAACAGCAGCAGCAGCAGCAGCAGCAACAACAACAGCAGCAGCAACAACAGCAGCAACAGCAGCAGCAGCAACAGCAGCAGCAACAACAGCAGCAGCAACAACAACAGCAGCAGCAACAACAACAGCAGCAACAGCACCTGGGCTGCCACGGCAACGGAGGCAACACTTGCAGTGGAAACAATGGTGCACACAGCCACAGCAACGGGGGTCACAACACCTGTACTGCCTCCCATACGCCCACTTCAATCGCCTCGACCACAGGTAAGCCCACACTTACACCCACCACGCCCATACTCACATCTCACTATGCCCACATTCAAGCCCACAATGCCCACACACACACACACACACACACACACACACACACACACACACACACACCCAGACATAGTGGCAATAGTGGAAACTAAAATAAATGGCATGATCTCGGATGCAATCTTTCCAGAGGGGTACCAGGTGATAAGAAAAGAAAGGACACAGAGACAGGGAGGAGGAGTGGCACCACTAATAAAGCGGAAATGGAAGTTTGATGAGCTGGAAAATCCGGGTACCAAGAAAAGCACGAGCTTCATACATGGAACTCTGACAGTGGATGGGAAGAAGATTGTAATCTTGATACTCTACAATCCCCCACCAAACAGTAGAAGGCCCAGGCAGGAGTACGAGGACAGCAACAAGACATGTATAGATGAACTGCAGAGGGCAGCAACTATAGCGCATAGAATGAGAGCGAAGCTGCTGGTCATGGGGGGACCTAAATCACAGAGAGATAGATTGGGAAACGAGGAATCCCCATGGCGGGGAGGAGACCTGGGGAGCGAAGCTGGTAGATGTTATTGACAGGAATTTCCTAACACAGCATGTGAAAGAAGATACTAGGGAAAGAGGAGGGGATACGCCTAGCCTATTAGATCTCATTTTCACCCAGAATGTAGAAGACATCGAGCAGCTGGAACATGAAATACCACTAGGAGCTAGTGACCATTGTGTCCTAGTCTTTGACTACATGATGGAGCTTAAAATTGTGACCAAAGGACAAGAGGTCCGGGAAAGGAGACTTGATTACAGAAAAGGGGACTACAGAAGGATAAGGGACTACCTGGGAGAAGTGCAGTGGGAGGAAGAACTTAGAGGAAAAACAGTGCAAGGTATGATGAACCAAGTCATATTGAAATGCAAGGAGGCTGAAGAGAGATTTATTCCAACAATAAGGAAAAAAAGCAGGAGGGAATATAATAACCCATGGTTTAATAGACAGTGTCAGGAAGCAAAGGTGAGAAGCAGGAGGGAGTGGAGGAAGTACAGAAGACAAAGGACAGAGGACAACAGGATTAGATGTAACAGAGCTAGGAATGATTACATTAACATAAGACGAGTGTCGGAAAGAAATTATGAGAATGATATTGCAGTCAAAGCGAAAAATCAACCTAAATTACTACATAGCCATATAAGAAGGAAGATGTCGGTAAATGACCAAGTGACAAGACTGAGGAAAACAGAAGGGGCATATACAGAAAGCGACAAGGAAATCTGCGAGGTACTGAATGCAAATTCCATGGAGTGTTCACAACCGAGCCTGAGCAGCTCCCATTGTTAGAAGAGATTACCCAAGATGAAAGACTATCAGATATAGAGGTGACAGCAGAGGATGTAATGAAACAGTTGACAACACTGGATGCAAATAAAGCTGTTGGACCAGACAAAGTATCACCGTGGATACTTAAAGAGGCAGCGCAGGCTCTCAGCGTGCCTCTGGCAATGATCTTTAATGAGTCACTTATGTCGGGAGAATTGCCCAGTTGCTGGAAGGAGGCAAATGTCGTACCGATGTTCAAAAAAGGTGATAGGGAGGAGGCACTTAACTACAGACCCGTATCACTGACAAGCATCCCCTGCAAAATACTTGAAAGAATAATTAGGCTAAGACTTGTTGAGCACCTGGAGAGCATTGGGTTTGTAAACAAGCACCAACATGGGTTCTGGACAGGGAATTCATGCCTAACAAACCTTTTAGAATTCTATGATAAAGTAACAAGGATAAGGCAGGACAGAGAAGGCTGGGCAGACTGCATATTTCTTGACTGCCAAAAGGCCTTTGATACAGTACCGCACATGAGACTGCTATACAAACTTGAGAGGCAGGCAGGAGTAAGCGGAAAGGCCCTAGTATGGGTGAAGAACTACCTAACAGGAAGGAGCCAGAGGGTAATGGTAAGGGGCGAGAAGTCGGACTGGCGAACAGTAACAAGTGGAGTACCTCAAGGATCGGTGCTGGGACCAATCCTCTTTCTAATTTATGTAAATGATATGTTTACAGGAGTGGAATCATACATGTCAATGTTTGCGGATGACGCAAAATTAATGAGAAGAGTTGTGACAGACGAGGATTGTAGGATCCTCCAAGAGGACTTAAACAGGTTGCAGAGATGGTCAGGGAAATGGCTACTGGAGTTTAACACCAGTAAATGTAAAGTTATGGAAATGGGATCAGGTAACAGGAGACCAAAGGGACAGTACACAATGAAGGGGAACAGCCTACCTGTAACGATTCGAGAAAGAGACCTGGGAGTGGATGTGACACCTAATCTAACTCCTGAGGCACATATAAATAGGATAACGACAGCAGCGTACAAAACACTGGCGAAAATTAGAACTTCATTCAGAAACCTAAATGAGGAGGCTTTTAGGGCGCTTTACACTGCCTTCATGAGACCCGTCTTAGAGTATGCCGCGCCATCATGGAGCCCCCACCTGAAGAAACACATAAAGAAACTGGAGAAGGTTCAGAGGTTTGCGACGAGGCTTGTCCCAGAGTTACGAGGGATGGGATATGAAGAGCGTCTGAAGGAACTGAACCTTACGACACTAGAGAAAAGAAGGGAGAGAGGAGATATAATAGGGACATATAAAATACTCAGGGGAATTGACAAAGTGGAAATAGATGAAATGTTCACACGTAATAATAACAGAACGAGGGGACATGGGTGGAAACTGGAAACTCAGATGAGTCACAGAGATGTTAGGAAGTTTTCTTTTAGCGTGAGAGTAGTGGAAAAATGGAATGCACTTGGGGAACAGGTTGTGGAAGCAAATACTATTCATACTTTTAAAACTAGGTATGATAGGGAAATGGGACAGGAGTCATTGCTGTAAACAACCGATAGCTGGAAAGGCGGGATCCAAGAGTCAATGCTCGATCCTGCAAGCACAAATAGGTGAGTACAAATAGGTGAGTACACACATACAGTTTGGGATGGAAGGAAGCTTTTGCTAGAGTTGGATGTGACAAAGGCTATAGGCCCGGATGGAATCTCCCCTTAGATACTAAAGGAAGGAGCAGAAGCACTGTGCCTGCCACTCTCCATAGAGTATACCAAATCACTGGTAACAAGGGAACTGCCAAAAATTTGGAAGACGGCTAATATAGTCCTGATATACAAGAAGGGGGATAGACAGGAGACACTGAACTACAGGCCAGTGTCATTAACTTGCATACCATGCAACTAGATGTAAAAGATTGTGAAAAAAAGCTTGTGGAACATCTGGAGCAAAAATTCTTTGTAACACAACATCAGCATGGGTTCAGGGATGGCAAGTCATGCCTCACAGGGCTAATCGAATTCTACGACCAGGCAGCAAAAATCAAGTAAAAAAGAGAGGGCTGGGCAGACTGTATATTTTTGGATAGCCAGAAAGCCTTTGACACAGTACCACACAAGAGACTAGTGCAAAAGCTGGAGATGCAGGCAGGAGTGAAAGGTAAGGTACTCCGTTGGATAAGGGAGTACCTAAGCAAAAGAAAACAGCGAGTCACTGTGAGGAGTGAGGTCCAAATTTGGATTGCCGAAGCGTCACCAGTGGAGTCCCGCAGGGTTCAGTTTTTGGACCTATACTGTTTCTGATATAAATAAATGATCTCCCGGAGGGAATTAAATCGCTCCTTTCATTGTTTGCTAATGATGCAAAAATTATGAGGAAGATAGTATGAGGCTACAAGATGACCTAGACAAACTGAAAGAATGGTCCAACAAATTACTACTAAAGTTCAACCCGAGTAAATGTAAAGTAATGAAACTAGGCGGTGGAAACAAGAGGCCGAACACACGATACCAAATGGGAGATGAAGTCCTTCATGAAACGGAAAGAGAGAAAGATCTAGGTGTGTGGATATCACACCAAACCTGTCTCCTGAAGCCCACATAAAAATAATAACATCGGCGGCGTATCCAAGGCTGGCTAACATCAAAACTGCCTTCAGGAACCTGTGTAAGGAATCATTCAGAACCTTGTATACCACTTATGTAAGACCAAAAGTTCAAAGGTATGCGACTAGGCTAGTCCCAGAACTAAGAGGCATGAGATACGAGGAAAGGCCGCGTGAAATGCACCTCACGGCGCTGGAAGATAGAAGAGTAAGGGGAGACATGATCACAACATACAAAATTCTCAGTGGAATTGACAGGGTAGATAAGGATAAAATGTTTAACACGGGCAGTAAGCGAACAAGGGGACACAGGTCGAAACAGAGTGTCCAAATGAGCCACAGGGACGTTAGAAAGAACGTTTTTAGTGTCAGAGTAGTTAACAGATGGAATGCATTAGGCAATGATGTTGTGGAGGCAGACTCCATACACAATTTCAAATGTAGATACGATAGAATCCAGTATCCTGGTGTACAGGAATCTGTACCCCAGTTGAATGACAGTTGAGAGGCGGGGCCAAAGTGCCAAAGCTCAACCCCAACAAGCACAACTAGGTGAGTACACACACACACACACACACACACTCACAGTAAATAGGGGGCGCTATGGTGGCTGAGAGGACAGCACGCTCGACACGTAATCCTGTGGACCGGGGTTCGATTCCTGGCGCCGGCGAGAAACAAAATGGGCAGAGTTTCTTTCACCATGATGCCCCTGTTAGCTAGCAGTAAATAGGCACCTGGGAGTTAGACAGCCGTTACAGGCTGCTTTCTGGGTGTGTGTGGAAAAAAACATCTTTAGTAGTTAATAACAGTTGATTGATTGACAGTTGAGAGGCGGGCCGAAAGAGCAGAGCTCAACCCCCGGAAACACAACTAGGTGAGTACACACACACAAACACACACACACACACACACACACACACACACACACACACACACACACACACACACACACACACACACACACACACACACACACACACACACACATATACAGCTGGCCGGCCGAGCGGACAGCACGCTGTACACGTGATCCTGGACAAACTCGGGGAGACAAACGCAGGAGGACAAACATGGCAGGAATAAACTCAGAGGAAGGGGAGAGACAGGAAGCCTGGATTAGGGAAACAATCGAACACATGTGGAATGAATTCAGGGAAGGACTGTGGGTAATGAAGGAGACAGTAACCAACAGGATGAACTGAAGGCTGCAAAGGAGGAAATAAAAAGCCTGAAAGAGAATCCTACTCAAGACGAGACGCAAACCATCCCTCAGGGAGATGGTAATGTTTCTGTAGAGGAGACTTCTACAACATAACCCTCATTTGGAGAATTGTTTAAAAAGAACGTAGAAGTTAGGTCTGCAGTAAGGGAAGTTTCCATGGAAGTGGCTTCTTCTCAGGAAGTAGCTAGATGTACTAGCCAGCAGATAGAGAGAAAAAGAGCAGTAGTAGTAGCAAGCATTGGGGAGCAAACATGGACCAGCCCAATAGAGCAGGGAGACATGGACAAAAATGTAGTTACCAAGATCCTTAAAGAGGTAAAGATGGAGAGGGCTGACGAGAATATTGAAAAGGTTTTCAGGCTTGGACAGTAAAACAAGGACAGAGACTGATTGATGAAGGTGGTATTCACGAGCGATAATATGAAAGAGGACCTGTTAGCATGGAAGAGCAAACTAGAAAATGTACCGAATTTCAAAAAAGTATTCCTGCAAAGGGATATGACAAGGGACAGGGATATGAGAATGGGAGCAGCAGATGCAAGGAGAGAGCACAGGGAGAACGAAAGGAATCAGGTGAAACCACAACCTCAAACCCTACAATCACAGAGGGAAGTGGGGAACCCTCCACAAGCAGTTCAACAGCCACTGGGAGAGGAACACTACCCATACCTTCCACCCAATTGACATCCTACTTGTCTCAACCCCTGACTTTCCCTCCCCCCCCCCCCCCACTAAGTGCCCACCTAGAGCACTCTCCCCCCACTCACCCCCCTCCCTAGGATCTCCCATCTCCCCCACCCCAAGCCCTCCGTTCTCCCACACCCCCGTAAGCCCTCCATTCTCCCCCACTCCTCTAAGCCCTGCCTTCACCATCACCCCCCTCAGCCCTCCTTTCAAAGTTCTCTGTTCTCTTCTGCCCCCCCCCCCAAGTCCCCTCTTCTCCCACTCACCCCTAGGCCCCCCCTATCACCCCCCCCTAAACCTCCTCTTCTCACCCACCCACCCCAAGCCTCCCCCTCTCACCCTCCCCCCCAAGCCCTCTCTTCTCCCCCCCCCCAGCCCTTCCTCCTCCGCCACCCTCCCCGTACCAGATCCTCCCAGTCCCTGCACACCCCAGATCCCCCAGGTACCCCTTCCTAGGTCCTCCTATCCCAGACCCTCCCTGTTTCCCTGGTTCTGGGGAATAAACAGAAACTGTGGAAGGACAGAAGAGTCAGTTTCAGGGTGATGTACTCGAACATAGATGGGATTACAAGCAAGGCAAGTGAACTAAGGGAAAGAGCACAAGAAGTGAACCCAGATGTAATCGGACTCACAGAAACAAAACTCCCAGGAATCATAACGAATGCGGTGTTTCCCCAGGACTTCACAGTAGTAAGGAAGAGAGAGAAGGCAGGGGAGGAGGCGGAGTGGCCCAACTAATGAGAAAGGAATGGAGTTACAAGGAGATGGCTATCCCAGACTGCAAGGGATTCAGAAACTACATAACAAGCACCATGACAATGGGAGGACCAAGAACAGTAGTAGCAGTAATATATAATCCCCCTCAAAATGACAGAAGACCCAGGCAAGAGTATGACAACAGCAACATGGCAGTTAACATTATAATTGAGAGGGCAGCCTCTACTGCCTGTAGAAATAGATCCCATCTGCTCATCATAGGGGACTTCAATCATAAAAGGATAGACTGGGATAACAAGGAACTGCATGTAGGTGCAGATAAATCGAGAGCTAAACTATTGGAGGTGGCGACAGGAAACTTCTTAAGCCATCATGTCAGGGAACCCACAAGAATGAGAGGAAACGATGAACCAGCAAGACTTGACCTAATCTTCACTCTGAACGACTCCGACATAAGGGAAATCGGTTTCGAGGCCCCGATAGGAATGAGCATCCACAGTGTACTGACGTTTGAGTGTCTGATTAAAGATGGGTTAAAGAACTCGAGGAGGGGGAACTGAAAACAAAAGGCTAGCATTCCAGAAGGGAAACTATGAGGAGATAAGGAAATTCCTAACAGATATAACATGGGAAACAGAGCTCTGGGGAAAGACGGCCCAAGGCATGATGGACTACATCACGAAGAAGTGTGAGGAGGCAGCAGACAAGTTTGTCCCGGTCCAAAAGGAAAACAACAAAATGCAGATGAGAAACCCATGGTATAACCAGAGATATAGGCTAGCTAAGCAACAAGGTAAAAGGGAGTGGAGAAACTATAGAAATATCGGGACATTTGAGAGCAGAGAAATATACCAGAGTGCCAGGAATGAATATGGTAGGTTGAGAAGAGATGCAGAAGGGCAATACGGTAATGAAATCGCAAGCAAGGCAAAGACTCAACCTATATTGCTGCACAGCCACATCAGGAGAAAAACAACAGTAAAGGAACAGGAAATGAAATTGAGGATGGGGGCAGACAGATTCACTACAAACGACAAGGAAGTGTGCGAGGAACTGAATAAGAAATTCCAGAAGGTTTTTATATTAGAACAAGGGGAAGTTCCAGAGATAAGAGAGGGAATAGTTAACCAGGAACCACTAGAAGAGTTTGAGATTTTCAGTAGGGATGTAAGGAAGCTTTTGCTAGAGTTGGATGTGACAAAGTCTATTGGCCCAGATGGAATCTCCTCTTGGATACTAAAGGAAGGAGCAGAAGCACTGTGCCTGCCACTCTCCATACTATATAACAAATCAATGGTAACAAGGGAACTGCCAAAAATTTGGAAGACGGCTAATGTAGTCCCGAAATACAAGAAGGGGGATTAAACAGGAGGCACTGAACTACAGGCTAGTGTCCCTAACTTGCATACCATGCAAGAAATGGAGAAGATTGTGCGAAAATAGCTAATGGAACATCTGGAGCGAAAGAACTTTGTAACACAGCATCAACATGGGTTCAGGGATGGCAGGTCCTGCCTCACAGGATTATTTGAATTCTACGACCAGGCAACAAAAATCAGGCAAGAGAGGAGTGGGCACACTGCATACTTTTGAATTGCCAGAAAGCCTCTGACACAGTACCACACAAGAGGCCAGTAGACGATTGAGAGGCGGGACAAAAGTGCCAGAGCTTAACCCCTGCAAGCACAAATAGGTGAGTACACACACACACACACACGCACACACACACACACACACACACACACACACACGCCGGTGGCTTGGGGCGACGTTGGCTCTGTGGATAGCACGCTGCACGCGTAATCCTGTCGGCCGGGTTCGATTCCCGGCGCCGGCGAGAAACAATGGGCAGAGTTTCTTTCACTTTAATGCCCCTGTTACCTAGCAGTAAATAGGTACCTGGGAGTTAGACAACTGTTACGGGCTACTTCCTGGGTGTGTGTGTGGGTGTGGGGAAAAAATCGTAGTTAGTAACAACTGATTGAAAGTTGAGAGGCGGCCCGAATGAGCAAAGCTCAAACCCCGCAAATACAACTTGGTGAATACAACTAGGTGAATACACACACACACACACACACACACACACACACACACACACACACACACACACACACACACACACACACACAACACACACACACACACACACACACACACACACACACACACACACACACACACACACACACACACACACACACACACACACACACACACACACACACACACACACACACACACACACACACACACACACAACACACACACACACATAGAGCTTCATGTGTTAATTAGTAATGTTCTCTCCAGAAATACATTTTAAATGCATATTGACTTTAGAAAAATAATTTGTTAACTCTTTGTAATGGATGAAAATCTTACTTTTATTTTATCTATACAATATTCACAATTATTTAAATAACTTTAAATTACTTATATTAATCGCAAATTACACTAATTATTTTTTTTAAATATATAATCATTTATTAAGCAGCAAAATTGCCTAACTGGGAAGGTATTCTCACAATGTCTTGTGTGTAGCATCAGACGCTCAGCCATTTCCCAGTAAAGTAAGACTATTAGCAGTATGTTTGTTCGTTGTTTTTAATTACACATAATGCTCAAAATGCCTTTCCTAGATTTTGCTTCGCTACCTCGACAACAAGAACATTTGAGCCTGTTATCTGACGCCTTATATATAGATTTCAGAATATAGTATTACTAAAACCATTTTTTACGTTAATTCCTTGCCATAGAGAAATTAACAAACATAATATTTATTCACGATTGCTGCATAAAATATATTCTAACTTGGGATCAAAATCTCTCAGGATTCAACGAGCACAGTGGGCATCCTGCGCCGCCGCCATTCTCCACAGCCAATGGGGTATTTCCACGGAAAAGTCCACCAATCAACACACAGAACCCCAACCATATGACGAGTCACGTGACAACTCTCCCTTCGTCCATTGGCCGGCTCACGCTGGGACTGGCCAGTCACTACACACCCTCGCCAATACCAGAACAAGAAGAAATTCAGTCACCTGTAAGCTCCGGTGAGTAGACATATATTAATTATTTCTTTCACGTTTACCCAGGACCACTAGTGGTTACTGCTGGGACTCTCTGGCTCCCCTTGACCACTAGTGGTTACTGCTGGGACTCTCTGGCTCCCCTTGACCACTAGTGGTTACTGCTGGGACTCTCTGGCTCCCCTTGACCACTAGTGGTTACTGCTGGGACTCTCTGGCTCCCCTTGACCACTAGTGGTTACTGCTGGGACTCTCTGGCTCCCCTTGACCACTAGTGGTTACTGCTGGGACTCTCTGGCTCCCCATGGTCACTAGTGGTTACTACTGGGACATACTGGCTCCCTTTGACCACTAGTGGTTACTGCTGGGACATTCTGGCTCCCCTTGACCATTAGTGGTTACTGCTGGGACATTCTGGCTCCCCTTGACCACTAGTGGTTACTGCTGGGACATACTGGCTCCCCCTTGACCACTAGTGGTTACTGCTGGGACATACTGGCTCCCCTTGACCACTAGTGGTTACTGCTGGGACATTCTGGCTCCCCTTGACCACTAGTGGTTACTGCTGGGACACTTTGGCTCCCCTTGACCACTAGTGGTTACTGCTGGGATTCACTGGCTCCCCATGGTCACTAGTGGTTACTGCTGGGACACTCTGGCTCCCCGTGGCCAGCCCACAATGGGTCCCTGCTCACCTGTGGTTCTTATTGATACACTTATGGGGAGTAGGCAAGCAGTGGGAGGGAGTCTCTCCAGGGGTGTTCTTGTCACTTCCCGAATTGGTATATGAATCTGACGTGTCCATGATGTCACCTTTCGTAACCCGTAATAGTTTAGGTGACCTTCACTAGCCAATTACTGATTAGGTGACCTTCACTAGATAATAACGATTTAGGTGACCTATATTAGCCTATAAGAGTTTAGATGATCTGTGCATCCAGTAATAGTTTAGGTGACTTTCGATGGTCACCTGTTGAATAGAGCTTCAGTGTTTTCTGTGAATGTGTTGTCTTTCAAAGCGTTATCAGACAGCATCAGATGGTTTCCCTTCAAATTATACAATATATATATATATATATATATATATATATATATATATATATATATATATATATATATATATATATATATATATATGTCGTACCTAGTAGCCAGAACGCACTTCTCGGCCTACTATGCAAGGCCTGATTTGCCTAATAAGCCAAGTTTTCCTGAATTATTAAATTTTCTCAATTTTTTTTCTTATGAGATGATAAAGCTACCCATTTCATTATGTATGAGGTCAATATTTTTTTATTGGAGTTAAAATTAACGTAGATATATCACCAAACCTAACCAACCCTACCTAACCTAACCTAACGTATCTTTTTAGGTTAGGTTTGGTTAGGTTGGTTAGGTAGTCGAAAAACAATTAATTCATGAAAACTTAACTTATTAGGCAAATCGGGCCTTGCATAGTAGGCAGAGAAGTGCGTTCTGGCTATTAGGTACGACATATATATATATATATATATATGTCCATTAATGGGCTTTATTTGTGGTAGTTGTCCACGAACGTTCCTTGGTGGTGTTAGATATTAATTAACGGCCCTTGAAGGTGTGTATAACGCCTATCACTAAAGTTTGTCCGCAATTTTAAAATGAGAATACTTTAACTGTGACCTTGTTGACCGTGTCGCGCACCGTGTCTAGTGGTCACAGTCATTGATCACCTTGTCATGCACTACCACCACCTTGATTACTTGTTGCTTGAGCTTCAAGGAAAGTTCGTGACACCCTTGGTGTCATGTTCATATTTTCCCTGTGTCGGAACTGAGAACGAGCGGATGAGTTGGCTCCTCTCTTTAACGCTAGAGTACCCAGAGTACCAAGAGTACCCAGAGTACCAAGAGTACCCAGAGTACCCAGAGTACCAAGAGTACCCAAAGTAGGTGGTGTTTATCACCTCCTCTCTCTCCTCATCCACACGGTCTCGCTTCATGCAGGTCGGCGTTTAATCCCCGAACGTCCAAGTGGTCGGGGCACCATTCCTTTCCCCCTGACCCATCCCAAATCCTTATTCTGACCCCTTCCAAGTGCTATATAGCCGTAATGGCTTGACGCTTTCTCCTCATAGTTCCCTTTCCACTTCAGTTTAGAAGGTCATATAAGTTACTTATCAACTGGTGGGTGGTGGGGATGGATAGTAATAATACTGTAGTATTAGTAAAAGGGGGTTGACCAATGAATAGTAAAGGCGATTAAATACCGAAAGGGGTCAATAACAGTGAGGTCCCTCGCACGTACACTGACACTCAATATATCAAGCAGGATATCAAAACTTACTCATAGACTTGAACGTCCAAATTTGAAATTGATTTATTAAATTATTCAAGTACATCCTAGCTGAAAATATTTACTATCACAATTACAGGCAATGTTTAATCTAAAAATGATTATTGAACAGTGAGATGGGCTGCTTAGAGTCCACTTAGAGTTCACTTAGAGTCCATGGACTGGCGAGGAGACTCTAGTCCTCCAGGTTACAGTCCCGGAGCTCCTCTGCCCTTCACCAAAACACATTGACCGAGGAACTCACACCCTAACCTAACCATCCCGGACTCTCACCACCACGTGGGGGGCCGCCTTGTTACTCAAGACGTGGCCGGCTGAGGTGCTCAGAGGGCTGGCCAAGGTCACGCCTGCTCCTACCTCCCTCACATGCACATTATTGACACAAGCTAAACCTCCCCTGTCTGGCTCCTACTGTAACGGGTGCTACGTGTCCATTAAAGGTCCTTAGTGGTGCTACGAGTCCATTAATGGTCCTTAGTGGTGCTACGTGTCCATTAATGGTCTTTAGTGGTGCTACGTGTCCATTAATGGTCCTTAGTGGTGCTACGTGTCCATTAATGGTCTTTAGTGGTGCTACGTGTCCATTAATGGTCCTTAGTGGTGCTACGTGTCCATTAATGGTCCTTAGTGGTGCTACGTGTCCATTAATGGTCCTTAGTGGTGCTAGGTGTCCATTAATGATCCTTAGTGGGGTTAGGTGTCCATTAATGGTCCTTAGTGGTGCTACGTGTCCATTAATGGTCCTTTGTGGTGCTAGGTGTGCATTAATGGTCCTTAATGGTGCTAGGTGTTCATTAATGGTCCTTAGTGGTGCTAAGTGTCCATTAATAGTCTTTAGTGGTGCTAGGTGTCCATTAATGGTCTTTAGTGGTGCTAGGTGTCCATTAATGGTCCTTAGTGGTGCTAGGTGTCCATTAATGTTCCTTAGTGGTGCTAGGTGTGCATTAATGGTACTTTGTGGTGCTAGGTGTCCATTAATGGTCCTTAGTGGTGCTAGGTGTGCATTAATGGTACTTTGTGGTGCTAGGTGTCCATTAATGGTCCTTAGTGGTGCTAGGTGTCCATTAATGGTCCTTAGTGGTGCTAGGTGTCCATTAATGGTCCTTAGTGGTGCTAGGTGTCCATTAATGGTCCTTAGTGGTGCTAGGTATCCATTAATGGTCCTTAGTGGTGATAGGTGTCCATTAATGGTCCCTAGTGGTGCTAGGTGTCCATTAATGGTCCTTAGTGGTGCTAGGTATCCATTAATGGTCCTTAGTGGTGCTAGGTGTCCATTAATGGTTCTTAGTGGTGCTAGGTGTCCATTAATGGTCCTTAGTGGTGCTAGGTGTCCATTAATGGTCCTTAGTGGTTCTAGGTGTCCATTAATGGTACTTTGTGGTGCTAGGTGTCCATTAATGGTACTTTGTGGTGCTAGGTGTCCATTAATGGTACTTTGTGGTGCTAGGTGTCCATTAATGGTACTTTGTGGTGCTAGGTGTCCATTAATGGTACTTTGTGGTGCTAGGTGTCCATTAATGGTACTTTGTGGTGCTAGGTGTCCATTAATGGTACTTTGTGGTGCTAGGTGTCCATTAATGGTCCTTTGTGGTGCTAGGTGTCCATTAATGGTCCTTTGTGGTGCTAGGTGTCCATTAATGGTCCTTAGTGGTGCTAGGTGTTCATTAATGGTCCTTAGTGGTGCTAGGTGTCCATTAATGGTCCTTAGTGGTGCTAGGTGTCCATTAATGGTCCTTAGTGGTGCTAGGTGTCCATTAATGGTCCTTAGTGGTGCTAGGTGTCCATTAATGGTCCTTAGTGGTGCTAGGTGTCCATTAATGGTCCTCAGTGGTGCTAGGTGTCCATTAATGGTACTTTGTGGTGCTAGGTGTCCATTAATGGTACTTTGTGGTGCTAGGTGTCCATTAATGGTACTTTGTGGTGCTAGGTGTCCATTAATGGTACTTTGTGGTGCTAGGTGTCCATTAATGGTACTTTGTGGTGCTAGGTGTCCATTAATGGTCCTTTGTGATGCTAGGTGTCCATTAATGGTCCTTAGTGGTGCTAGGTGTCCATTAATGGTCCTTAGTGGTGCTAGGTGTCCATTAATGGTCCTTAGTGGTGCTAGGTGTCCATTAATGGTCCTTAGTGGTGCTAGGTGTCCATTAATGGTCCTTAGTGGTGCTATGTGTCCATTAATGGTCCTTAGTGGTGCTAGGTGTCCATTAATGGTCCTTAGTGGTGCTAGGTGTCCATTAATGGTCCATAGTGGTGCTAGGTGTCCATTAATGGTTCATAGTGGTGCTAGGTGTCCATTAATGGTCCTTAGTGGTGCTAGGTGTCCATTAATGGTCCTTAGTGGTGCTAGGTGTCCATTAATGGTCCTTAGTGGTGCTAGGTGTCCATTAATGGTCCTTAGTGGTGCTAGGTGTCCATTAATGGTCCTTAGTTGTGCTAGGTGTCCATTAATGGTCATGAGTGAATTAGGTATCTACCTTGTGACTGAAAATAACAATGCCAATAATAATAACAACTTCATTTTCAAATGACAATACATGTACAGTACCGGATATAATTCATGTTCAGTATACGTGTAGTACTGGATATATATTCATGCACAGTATACGTAAAGTACTGGGTACATATTCATGTTCAGTATACGTGTAGTACTGGATATATATTCATGCACAGTATACGTAAAGTACTGGGTA